ACAATATATCATTTAATTGTCTATAGTTATATCTATATTTAACTATAGAAAAAAAAACAAAAACAGACAGTTAAACTAACTGACAGTTAAATTAACTGACAGATAAACGAACAGACAGTTAAACTAACTGACAGTTAAGCTAACTGAGAGTTAAACTTACTGAGAGTTAAAGTAACTGACAGTTAAGCTAACCGACAGTTAAACTAACTGACAGTTAAGAAAACTATAAGTTAAACTAACTGACAGTTAATCTAACTGAGAGTTAAACTTACTGATAGTTAAACGAACTGACAGTTAAGCTAACTGACAGTTAAACTAACTGACAGTTTAGTAAACTATCAGTTAAAGTAACTGACAGTTAAGCTAACCGACAGTTAAACTAAATGACAGTTAAGGAAACTATCAATTAGACTAACTGGCGGTTAAGCTAACTAGCCGTTAATCTAACTTACTGTTAATCTAACTGACAGTTAAACTTACTGATAGTTAAACTAACTGACGGTTAAGCAGACAGTTAAACTAATTGACAGTTAAGCTAACTGACAGTTAATCTAAATGAGAGTTAAACTTACTGATAGTTAAACCAACTGACAGTTAAGGAAACTATCAGTTAAACTAACTGATAGTTTAGCTAACTGACAGTTAATCTAACTGACAGTTAAGCTAACTGACAATTAAACTAACTAACAGTTAATTGGATTTATTTTGACTTTTGTTTCCCGACGTTTCGAATGCCATACAGCAATCATGGTCACGGGAGAGACTATCTAGACATCTTTAAAGTGTTATATACATATAGCAGGTGGACCACGGAAGGCCACCTTAACAAATAAATAGTTATAATTCTTTTATTTATTGGATAAATAAAACAAATAAATTATTAAATAATACTTTGTTCTATTATATAGCTTATAAAACTTTTTATTTTATTGCAGAGTTAATGATTATTATTTATTAAATTTAAGTTTTATTGAACTCTTCCAAAATGGCCTTGCAAGAAACAGGGCTCCATACAAGGCCGATAGAATAAATCAGTCGTTTAACTTAAAACTAACGTCGAGACAACCAAAATATATGGCTATCTTTAATTATCATAAAAAGGTATTTCATTAAAATGTAACATTAAATACACGTAATATATTCACATAAAAAATAGTCCACGAACATTATTACTCTTGAATCGTAAAACTAAGAATTTATTTATGAAAATGTTTTAAAAATAATTTGATTATAATCATTCATTTTAATAATTTTATAATAATAACTAGCATTGCCCGCGGCTCCGCCCGCGTTCAGATGACCAAAAACCAAATTCTTAGGTTTTACATATTAGTATACTCTAACATTGCAGTTTTTGTATTTTCTCTCAGAAATACCAAATTTCATCAAAATCCCTCCAGTGGTTTTTCTGTGATGCGGTAACAGACAAACAGACAAAAATTCTAAAAACTATAGATTTGGCCTCTGTATCGATAATAATGTTTATTTCAATAAGATTTTCCAAAAAAATATTTAATGTACAGATTCGGCTTAGTTACAATTTTATTATATGTATAGATATTAGATAGTGTATTTGTAGGTTAACTATATTTTGAAGAGCGAAAGTGTTATAGCGAAGGGGGTCAACTGTCGATAACGTCTTCCGAATAATAAGTGTCGGACGAATTTTATATAACTGGTACAATGTGATGCTTTAAACTTGTTTAGCATCTGGTTTTGTCTGATATTTCTTTTTACCCGACTGCGCGACGCAAAGTAGGGTAATGTGTTTATCAGTCTTTGTATGTATGTAGGTATGTACATATGTATGAATATTTGTTCCTATGTGGCTTTCTAGCCACCAAACGCGTGGGCCGATTTTGATGATTCATACGTATAACACTCGCATTATCAAGATGAATCTAACGAGATTCATCTTGATAATGCGAGTGTGTATAGATATTTCATATCATTGAAAATCAAAATGGCGGATTCTAGGCGCCAATATTTTTTTCGGCTGAATCAAGTGAGGTATCCAACAAAATACAAGTTTTTAAGAGGTGATTACAAAAACATTTGGAACTTATACTTATATTTAAAGCATATTTTTGCAGCTTAAAGACTATTCAAAACGTTCAGAATTAGCTGTAAATATATCCTTACAACATTAATATTATTATGTAAAATTTATACTAGAATATACGTCAGTTCAAAAGAAACGTAATTATATACATACTTTTTTAAGTAATTTATTATAAAGACTTTACATAGAATAGAAGTAATTACAACTGCAGTTTGCAGAAAATGCTAGAAACAGCGATGCGTCGGCCGCTTGAACTCAATGCCATAGAACTCTATACATTTTGTGATAGGTCTCTTAATATTTAGTATTTGTTTTATTTCAATCAGTTTATATATATATAGTATACTTCTTTGTTTTTAAAGCATTTAAATAAAAGTTTGTTTTTTAAATGTTTAAACTTTTTTTATGTTTATTACTTTTCTGTATTCTTCTCAGCAAACCTTTTCATTTTATATGGGTTCAAAATGACGTCACTTTGCTTATTATGTTTCGCTCATCAAGCCCTATCATTTGGTGCCCAAATCATAAGGGTCACTAATCACTATGGAAATAATAAATAACCATCTTGTAACGTCCACAATATTGGATTAAAAATGTCACGAGAGTCTAACGTGTGTGCCAAATTTCAGCTCAATCGGACAATGGGAAGTGGGTCAAATTTAACTTGCAAGATTTGATTACAGACAGACACCGAGACAGGTGATAACGAAGTAAAAGCTTGTAATCATTTTTATATTTATCGATATAAAACACGTGTTGTGTATATAGAAATATCAGAATATCTTGAATATAGACATCTCTTATACTATAGTCTAAATCTGTCGCATCGTAAAATACTACAATAAAAATAGATTTACCTTTGCACTAAATTTCCGATCCAATTCTTTTATTTTATAAAGTTTAGGATCACTTACTGAGTATAAAATCACAAAATGCTGACAGATGAGATTTGCCAAAATCAATTGGCAGTAAGGTCGTACTGCGCTGACCATAAGTAATTTGGGAAATGGGCTGGGTAAAGGTGATGAATCATTTGCCTATAAAGGAAATCATCGTGAGGAAACCTGATGATGATGATGATGTTCTCCTAGCCGATTACGGCTACGGCGGCCAATCTCATTGAGATTAGCCAACTGCGCAGGAGATATTATAGTGCTCAAGTGTACGCGCAGACACAAGTGCACTCTCTATTCCTATCACTCTCATACTCCGGTGGGACGACCACTCGACACGACCGGTGAAAGTTAAGGCGCAGGACCGACGGCTTTACGTGCTCTCCGAGGCACGGGGGTGAAACACCGCCAACTTCCCAACTCCGGGCTGTTACTGAGACTTAATATACAGAAAGACTCAATAACTAAACTTGGCCCGACCCGGGACTCGAACCCAGGACCTCCGGGTGTGCAGCCGTACATGCTAGCCACTACACCACCGAGGAAACCTAAGTAGTTGTCAATATGTGTAGTCCGCCAACCCGCACTCGGCCAATAGACTATGGCCTACTCCCTCGTATTGAAAGACAGAGAAATTTAATTTTAACGATATTTTTAGCCTACGATTTTGAGATTTATATATTTATGTGTGATGTTTGAAAACAACAATTTCAATTGGACCTCTGTTATACCTACATTAATACTATAATTAAAGTAGGTAAGCACTCATATCTAAATGCATTGTTCTTTCGTTTAATTTGCAGCGTGTTTACGTCAGAAATAAGTGATTATCTAGTTTATACCTAGGTATATAAGTTACTTTATGATTAGTTCTGTGGACGACATGTTTGGCTTAGTTTGTACTACCCTACTTGCTGTGCCAGCGGTCGCGGGTTCGAGTCCCGCTGGGAGCATTCATTTGTGTGATGAGCACGAATGTTTGTACTTATTATGGGTATTTATATTTATAATATGTATGAATTTTGAGTTATATATGTGTAGTGTATCAACTATCTGGTATCCACAACACAAGCCTTGTAGCTTACCATGGAACTAGGTGGTACTGTGTGTTAATGTCCCAACATATTTGTTTATTTATTTTATTTAAGTTTGTAAGTTTGTATGTAGGGGGCAATCTCTGAAACTACTGATACGATTCTGAAGATACTTTCACTAATAAGCTCATACTGTTGAGTGCTATAGGCTATTTTTATTCCGATAAAAATGGTTTTACTGTCAAAAATCATATTAATTTTAATTCAAGTCGGTTAAAAAGACAGCTAGGGACGTATCCGAGCGAAGAGAGGGTACGTCACTAGTCTTTTAGAAATGGATAAATAAGTGGCTCTCATATGTAGGAAATTAGATAGTAATGTATTTTTAAAGGCAATGGATGTATGTTTTTGCTCCTCGGTCAGCAGGTTGGCATCGTATATTAAGATACGCAGGTACCATACTAATGCACCGTGCCCAGCAGTGGGACGTTAAAAAGGGGTGAATACATACTAATGCACATGTGGAAAAGCAGCACCAGCACCAGCAGTGGGAAAAACTTTTCCCCACAAGTCCCATTGCTGGGCATGGGCCTCCTGTATACGAAAATCAGGCCATATCCCACCACGCTGGCCAAGTATAGGTTGGCGGACTTAACATGTTTTTCAAAAACTTGCTAGGTTCTCTCAGATATGCAGGTTTCCTCACGATGTTTTCCTTGACTGTAGGACAAATCGTAATCATTTTGAGAATTATTCATACATGAGAACATCAGAGGTGCAATACCTGGGATTTGAACCTGCTCCACTTAATTTTCCAAGCAAGCGCGTCAACATTGGACAACTGTCTCATAATGCTTATGCTAATATACAAAAGAATCGGCTTCACAACAATTCAGTTGTGAAATGTGCATTTTAGCATCTTTGCATATGTAAACTATAATAAAAAACAATGTACGTATAATAGTATTTTAAGCTATTTGCTTAATTTATTACTAAAACGGTAAACAAAGAATGAGGTAATATATACGACTAATTAAACTTATCATTTATTCGTAGGGTAATATATTATTTTTACACGAATTGTAAAAAGTGGTGACAAAATGAACTTGATATCTAGCCGATGCAAAGCAAATCTAATATATTTCGATACATAAAATACATACTTACCTATTAGATAATCATATCCTAAAATATTGTAGGCTGGCACCGACTTCGAAAATATCTGATTAGGTATCTATTCTAAATGAAAACCTTTTTTTTTTTTTTTTATGTCGGGAAATGCATTTACGCATACCACCTGATCCCCCAGGTGGTGATGTGGGGCTCACCGGCTAGAAGAGCCGGTACTACCCACTAAAACCCGACATTCCCCTCCCCTCCGCCTTAATGGGACGCCGCAGGATCGCTTGCGCATAACTACTACGGCGCCCCGGCGGCAGGTCTGCCAACGGCTGACCACCACACCGATGGGGCTGCTCCACAGTCAATTCTGCTACACCAGAGAGGTACCCGGAGCAGCTCCATAAAACTGAACCTCCGCCCACCGAAGTGGGCCACCTCAAATCGGCTGCAGAGGACAGGGAGAGCGGCAACGAAACACCGACACTCCTCTTCCCCTGCAGCCCCACCGCGTCCGCCATCAAACGGTGGCGGCCCCGTCTAGGCCGCGGAAGGTAGGGAGAACGGCGCACCGAAATACCGGCACTCCTCTCCCGCCGCGGCCTACCCCTCCGCCGGATGCGGGCCTGCGACCCCAGTCCCGCAACCGGCACCCATCATCCGGTTGTGGGACCAAGCGGTCCCACCACCGGTGGCCGCAACGTCTTCGGCTCGAGGCCTAGACGAGCGGCCCCATCCAAGCCATTTGGTCCGCGCCGGATTTCTCCGGTACCACCCGCCGCCCTAAGTGGGTGGCATACCCCTATCCGCCACCTGGGGACGCGCCCGGTAGGAGTTGGCTTCTCCCCCGGGATTCTAAATGAAAACCTCCGTTTAGTTATTTTTTACATTTTAGTGCTTGCAAGTCTGTTTTTATTTTTTGTTAAAAAGTTTTTATTTTTCCATTTTTAGTGTAGACGTAATAAGCAGGTAATTTGTAAGAAGAAAGTTATTTAATAACATATTCGATTAAACAATTTATTTTAAAAAAATATTTATTGTAGAATTTTTAAAAAACCCGTTTTTAAAAAAATTATATGGGACCACCTAGGAAGTATACCCTTTGAAACAAAAAAAAATCCAAATCGGTTCAGGCGTCTTCGAGTAATCAGTGAACATACATAAAAAAAAGATTCCGACGAATTGATAACCTCCTCCTTTTTGGAAGTCGGTTAAAAACCAAACAGTACGTACATGCCAAATTAATCATGTAAGTAGTAAATCAAAGGAGTCAAAATAAGTCAAATTAATTTTGAATTTTTGTCTTTTGAATTTTGAAAAAATGTTAATTTTTGAACTAAACTTAACTTTATGTTATAACTTATTTAACAAAAATTATGATAATCGGACCATTATTGCAAGTCAAAAAATAAATAAACAAACAAACACCTGTATTAACTTAAAATTTAAATAAATATTAACAACAAGACGCCAAAGTAGCTCTGAATATACAAATAATGTTACTAACATTAAAAGCTGATAACAAAAAAATTACATTTTAAATAAAACTATTTGTTTCGGAAAATTACAGAAAATTTGAAAGATCTTCTTAAAAATTTGAAGAATCTTTCATTCCTTCGGGAAAACACTATAACTGATTCTTTCGAGTCGTCATTAGAAATTTACATTGCTAAAGCTGGCTAAGCCTTAAGAGATAGGTACATCAAAACAATGGACAAGATAATTGTAGGTCTCACAATAAAAACTTAGAACAAAAATAAAATAATACTTTCTTAGATTTACGCGAATATTTGACATTTTAAATAAAACTATCTTTTCGGATTATTTCGCGGATTTATTTTGATTTTTGGTTCCCGACGTTTCGAATGCTTTACAGCAATCATCGATTGTTGTAAAGCATTAAGCAAGGATAGTTTTATTTAAAAAAATAAAAACCTATATCAGATATTTTTTTTGAAGTCGGTATCAGCCGATAAGCACACCGACTTCGAAAATATCCATTATCAGTAGTAAATGAAAACTATCAATCAGTTATTTTTTACTTTTCAGTGTTTTTTTTTAAATCGGTTTTATAACAAAACTATCTTTTCGGATTATTTTACGGATTTATTGTTCCCGACGTTTCGAATACTTTACAGCAGCGGGAGAGATTTCGGTTCGGTTTTTATTTATTTTTTTAAGTTTTTATTTTTCTATTTTTAGTGCAAACGTAGAAGCACAGTAAGAAGAAAGTATTTTTTAAAAAAATCTCTATTTCCTACACTTAGGGGAGGTTTTTTTTTCAAATTTAAATGAGACCAACTTTGTTGATGACACGATAATGTTCTATCGTGAGTGAGAAGTATAAAGCGATAGATGTTCAACGTATTTAAGCGACAAAACAGTTTTAAATCTATACTTAATATTAAAGAGGTAAAGTTTGTGAGTTTGTGACGTTGTAGGTAATTTTTGGATCTACTGAACCGATTTAGATGAAATTTGGTAAGAAGATAGTTTAAGAATCTGGGAAGGACATAGGATACTTTTTATCCCGGAAATCATCCCTTAAGAGGATGAAAATGGGGATGAAAGTTCGTATGTGGAATCAACCTATAAATTAATTAAAAAATCAAACGAAATATGAAATTCGGTAACTGAAGAAATACATCTAGGCTTTCTAACAAAACAAAAACCCTACAAAAATAGTGAGCTGTTTTTGAAATATATAGCAATAAATGTACAAAACATGTATTTGAAAAAAAATATTATCGAGAAAATATTCACCAATCGTGTTTTCAAAGGCAATTTAAGATAAAAGTTCCAACTCCGAAGTATAATTTCGCTAAATTTCAAAGTGGTAACTTTCCCAGATTCTGAGATAAATAACGAGGTCTAGGTACAAAACTGTCATATACACTCTTAAAAAAATTGAATTCAATACCTTCCCTTCATAATGTATAGCTCTATAAAGCGTTACATCGTTATACTCTATATACTCGTATATACTAGTACACTCTATGGATGAACGTGTAAAGTAAATAAAAGTCTACACAAGATTTTCAAACTTCTTCTCGTTTAGTTTTAATTCATCAGTGAAGCTGCGCACCTGCTTTGTGATTAAATTGTACGTAATATTTCCTTATAATATAATATTTAATAGGTTTCATTATAAGGAGGCTTTGTGAGTTAGGATTTAAGGGCCAAGCCAGACTTTTGATTAGATTAAGAATTTTTTTTTAATTGTTTCTAATCAAATTTTAATTTATTCAGCATTAAATTATACATTTTTTTACTGAAAGTTATGAAACTACAGCCAGTTCTGAAAAAGCCTTACTCTTGAGAAGAACTGACGAAAGAAACTTAATGGGAATTAATATTTTACTTTTGAATAATAATTATTTTTTTTATTATTCTTCAATTATTTTCTCATTTTTTAATTATTTTCAATTATTTTACTTCTTTTTTTTAAATTAAACTAACGACTTACCCCCGCTTCGGTCGGGTGCGTCCCTAGGTACGTTTTAACTTTTTCCAACAGAACCCTAATTCTTTTTCTATAATAAAAGTAGCCTAAGTTACTCCTTGTAACAGCAGCTATATGCCAGTGAAAGTCCTGTCAAAATCAGTCCAGCCATTTCGGATATTAACCGAATCAAATCGAAAGACAGATAGACAAATTTTTAAAAATTGTGTTTTTCTTATTTAAAGTACAGTATATAATTTCATATGCATTTAGTAAAAAAATTTACTGTTATTTTGACATTACAAATAGAGATTTCAATTTATTTATCTTTATACTCGTAGATTGTAAATTACAATAATTCTGCAACATTGAAGCTTGAAGTAGCCTGGAGGCCATCACACCATTCCCAAGGCGTGCCCATCTTCTGTTAAATCATTTATTATATAATTTTACTCTAAATAACCTTTAGCATACAAACGTTCACATAATACTTTCTTAGTTTCACGCGATAATATTTTGAAATCTATACTAATATTATAAAGTGGTAAAGTTTGTGAATTGTAAGTTTGCGAGTTTGTGACGTTGTAGGGGGTAATCTCTGGATCTACTGGATCGATTTAGATGAAATTATAAATAAAAATATAAATAAAACTATCTTGTCGGATTTTTCGCCAATTTAATTTGATTTTTGGCTCCCGACGTTTCGAATGTTTTACAGCAATCATGGTCTCTCCCATGACCATGATAACTGTAAATCATTTGAACCCCGGGAACTACTAACTTACTTTAATTTTTATTTAAATAAGCAATAGAAGCTTTTGTAACGTTTTATGGGATCCCGTTTTTTTTACACCTTTTTGAACACCTCCAGGTAAATTTCTAAGAAATTAATTAAATTTCTAAGAAATCAATTAAATTTCTAAGAAATCTATTGTTTACTGTAATGCCGGCATGTCCGCGGTCGTCGAGGGATTAAGGATTTGCAAACATCATACCTCAAAGTATCAAAGACAACAGTTCAGTACTTTTTTCTCTGCTGTTTGTCAACGGATTTTATTTTTTTATTTTGTGGCTATTGATGAGTTTTAGTGTTAACAATAAAAAAAAGTACTGCTGAAAAATGGTCGATTTTCGACCACTGAAAGAAACTATATATCTCGTTCAGACAACGTAGCAAAAAATAAGATTGCGCACAAAAAAGGTATAGATAAAAAATATATTATTATTTTATCCTTGAAGGCTATTTTTATGAATTATGGAACCACACTTGAAGTAAAATCTATGTATTAAAATAAGAATAAATAAAATCGATTCACAATTCTCGAAGATATCACGTAACATACAAATTACATTATTTTATTCACGTTATATTATGTATATTTGCAAGGTGAATTGAGTACCTCCTTTTTGAAGTCGGTAAAAAATAATATATATATAAAAGAACTAGCAACTTTACCTCGCTTCGCTCGGTTTCGTTAAAAACAAATCTGTCCTACGGGAACCCTACATTTGTCCGGAATAAAAAGTAATCTATGTGCTATTCCAGACTATAATCTATGTCTGTGCCAAATTTTATCCAGATCTGTTCAGCCATTTTAGCTAGATTGAGTAGCAAACTGCATCCAAACATTCACATTTATAAACCTACTAATATTATAAATGCGAAAGTTTGTGAAGATGTATGGAAGTCTGGATGTATGTATGGGTGTTTGTTACTCTTTCACGCAACAACTACTGAATGGATTTTAATGAAACTTTACAATAATATAGCTCATTAGAATAAAACATAGGCTACTTTTTATCACGGAAAATGTACGGTTCCCGTGGAATAGATTTGTTTATGGCCGCTTGACCACGATTCTTATACCCGACCTTGCTAATTAGCGACCATATTTTGCGTGGAATAATACGAAAGAAAACCACATGAAAACTCGAAAACACGCGTTTTCCCAGACAATCTAGATCGATTTTTCCCCCCCGAAAACTCCCACATACCAAACTTCTTCGAAATCGTTAGAGCCGTTTCCGAGATCGCCGGTATAAATTAATAAATAAATATACAAGAATTGCTCGTTTAAAGTTATTAGATAGATTTGCTTTACTATAATAAAGTCCGTTAGCTATTTTTATTTATTACCAATTATTTACACATCACTCTGTACATAAATTGTCATTTGTTTAATATTGTATAATATCCATACCTACTTCCATACTAACATTATAAATGTGAAAGTGTGTTTGTTTGTATTTTTGTTTATTTGTTTGTCTTTCTTTCACGTCGAAACGGATTGATAGATTGGTGTTATAGTTGTATGGCTGGTGAGTGACATAGGCTACTTTTTAGCGCGGAAGATTATATAATTCCCACGGGAAAACACGTTATAATACAACCCAAAAAATATTTATGATCAGAATTACTTGATGCTCTTCAATACAATTAAATAAATACGTGTTTTAGCATTTATCGAAATTCATCATATAAGGGGTTAAAATAGGGGATGAAAGTTTGTATGAAACCGACCTTTTTAGAGTTTTTTTGTAGCTTTAGCGCGAGCAAAGCCGCGGGTTCTGCTTGTTATAGCATATTATTTTAAACATTATTGGCTTCATTTAGTTCTATGACACCCTGTCAATATAATTCTTTAAATAATTGAGCCATTTTTACCGTCATACTGCTGGGAGTAGTCCTTCTTCAAACTCAATGCCAGGGATCAGACCATAACCCACTACGCTGTCCAAGTGCGGGTTGGCGGACTTCACATATGCGTTCTCACAGATATACAAAAAGCATCATGAGTAAACCTCATGATGTTTTCCTTTACTGCATTAACAATAACAACTGGTCATAATATTGATTCTGATAAACATATAAGAAACTCGGAGGTGCGATTTCCGGGTAAGCATATATGTAGCTTATTCAAGTGCTTTTAGAACATTGCTTAAAAAATACTCTAGTCTGCAAGGCCTAGGACCAGGACCTAGATACATAGGACCTAGGACCTAGGTCCTTGGCGATTGTGAACTTTTTTATGTCGCTCGTTGTAACAAACAAAACGGCTGAGTTTTTGTTCAGTTATATTTTTAAAGTGAGGCAGAAGTAGTGGTAATGAACTGGCTTGAAAAACCAAGTGAATTGGGATCAAATCTCGGGGTTCGCGCCGCTGATATTATCATATTTGAATCATTTTCAACAAGATTACCATTCGAAAAACATCATGTCTGGAGAATTTGACAAGTATTCGAAATACAAGTGAAGTCTATGATAGACATGTGGACTGTGGCCTGATCCCGTTATGATGGCGTTAAAAAGTGTTGAATACATACGCACATATCTTTAAAAAGTATAGGTAATCTATACATATAACAAAATTCTGAGTCAAATCTGTACATTAAATATTTTTTGGAAAATCTTATTGAAATAGACATTATTATCGATACAGAGGCCGAATCTATAGTTTTTAGGATTTTTGTCTGTCTGTCTGTTTGTCTGTCTGTTACCGCATCACACAATAACTAGTGGAGGGATTTTGATGAAATTTGGTATGGTGATAGCTGGTTATTCGGGTCAACATATAGGATACTTTTTACCGCGGAAAAATATCTCATTTTTGAGAAAAAATACAAATATGTAAAACCTAAGAATTTGCTTTTTGGTCATCTAAACGCGGGCGGAGCCGCGGGCAATGCTAGTCGCTAAATATATTAAAAAAGTATTTTGAGGAATTGAAAGAGGTTTTATTTATATGTACACTCTATTGTACAATACACATTTGCTGTTGAATATTAAGATAAAGTATGAAAAAAAAGATTTATTTACATCTCAAAAGCCAGTCTTATTGTTAATTAACATTTCGTGAAGGCAACCTTCGAGTTATGAAATGTGAATGACTAAAAATGAGCTTCATAGTCGTAACTTTAAGTCAGAGTGGTCTTTGTAAAGTGAAGTTTACATTCCGAAGCTTACCATCGATCATTTTGACTCCACATTCGTATATTTATACTAATATTATAAATGTAAAAGTTTGTGAGTATGTATGGATGTTTGTTACTCTTTCACGCCAGAACGGCTGAACGGATCTGGATGAAATTTGGCACATAGATAGATTATAGTCTGGAATAACAAATAGGTTTTCTATCCCGGAAAAATATACGGTTCCCGAGGGGGATAGATTTGTTTTTGTTCTTCTAGAGGCGAACTATAGGGTAGTATGTATATATAGTTGACGTACGACATACGTATTTCTAAGCTTAATAAATTATCCTTAATTTAAATGACTTTTTCTGTTTAATTTGATGTTAATATGCGCTAGTATGAAGGTATACTTATTCGGATAATCGATTCAAAGTGTACTTTGTCATCACCAAAATATTCGCACGGAAATCGAACCCATGCTTTCTGATGTAAATAGTAGTTTAGATAATGTTTTAAAATTATAATTTCGAAATACTAATAGTTCGTCCAGTGGTCAATGACCACTGATGATGGAAATTAAAATATAATCATTGTTAAAAATTTGAGGAAAACGTATATAAATGAATAAAATTTACATATAGCACGCTTAATAAAACACTGAATTAACTAAAACACTATATTTTACTTAGAACTGTTTTTGCAATAACGACCTTGTTTTTTTATTTTTAAATTTAAATAAAATAAAACATTGCGAAGTAAATTGTTATATTTTAAATAGCATTGCCCGCGGCTCCGCCCGCGTTTAGATGACCAAAAACCAAATTCTTAGGTTTTACATATTTGTATACTCTTACATTGCAGTTTTTGTATTATTTCTCAGAAATGAGATCTTTCCCGCGGTAAAAAGTATCCTATATGTTGACCCGGACAACCAGTTATCACCATACCTAATTTCATTAAAATCCCTTCAGTGGTATTTCTGTGATGCGTTAACAGACAGACAGACAGACAGACAAAAATTTTAAAAACTATAGATTCGGCCTCTGTATCGATAATAATGTTAATTTCAATAAGACTTTCCAAAAAATATTTAATGTACAGATTCGGTTTAGTTACAATTTTATTATATGTAGAGATACGTGTAAGATACTACATAAAATACGCAATTTATTTTAATTCAATGTTTATTTATGCCATTAAGAATTAATTTGGAACTATCGTGCAATATATTCTAGATCAAAAAATGTTATTAAATAAAACTATCTTTTCGGATTATTTCTGAAGGTATACTTGTTACAGACAGCCTACCCACCTTCAAGACTTACTTCAAGACTTACTGTACTTTCAAGACATGTAACACCTCAGTCTCTCCCGTGACCATGGATGCTGTAAAGCATTCGAAACGTCGGGAACCAAAAATCAAAATAAATCCGCGAAATAATCCGAAAAGATAGTTTTATTTAATAATGTCAAACATTCGCGTAAATCTAAGAAAGTATTATCAAAAAATGTTTTTTAAAAAAGTATAGAAAATAGACATCTCACCCACCCTATATTAGATATGTATTTATAAGTAAGCAAATGAACATAAAAACAGTGTATTATTTGTTGTTGCAAAATTGTTATTAGGATCAAAGATCAAACATCATGACGAATTAATCATTGTGTAGTGTTGCTTCATTACTTATAAGTAGTTTATTATATAATAATTAGTGGTCTAGTGGCTAGCATGTACAGCTGCACATCGGGAGGTCATCGGTTCGAGTCCCGGGTCGGGCTAAGTTTAGTTGTTGAGTTTTCTAGAAATTCTCAGTTGCAGACCGGAGTTGGGATATGATACTCAGTTACATGTCCGCGTTTGTCCGCGTCACTAACGGATTACCATAGAAAAACAACAAATTTTTGTATAAACTTTCTACCCTTGGAAGCCCTCAAAGGGGTAGAAAAGAGTTATTTACTAACTAATCTATATAATATATATGGCGGTGTCTCACCCCCGTGCTTCGGAGAGCACGTAAAGCCGTCGGTCCTGCGCCTTAACTCTCACTGATCGTGTCTCGTGTCGTCCCACCGGAGTATGAGAGTGACAGGAATAGAGAGTGCACTTGTGTCTGCGCGTACACTTGAGCACTATAATATCTCCTGCGCAGTTTGCTAGTCTCAATGAGATTGGCCGCCGTAGCCGGAATCTACCAGGAGGACTTATTATTATTACACAATATATATAAATAGACAAACACAAAACAGTGCAGTGCTTTTTACTCCTCTGTTGTTCTCTGTGTGTTAATGTCCCACCATATTTGTATTTCTTTGTCAACCGATTTTAATTTTTTTTTCTTTTTCTTGAAACTTCTTTTTTTCTTTTTTTACAAGCTCTTATTTAGTTTCATCTGTCCCGGTTTGTGTAATAGAATCTTGCAAGTTAAATTTGATCCACTTACCAATATTCGACTGAGCTGAAATTGGGCACACTAGTTTGGTTCCCAATACAATACGCGATTACCTAAATGTCGCCATTTTTAATCCAATATGGCGGCCGTTATAAAATGGCGATTTTTCATTTCCATAGTAACCTTTATGATATGGACTTGATATGCGAAACACAATAAGTACGTGACACTGTAAATCCAATATGACGGCTGCAGCAAAATGGCAATTTATAATTTCCACATTCCTTAAGATATGGATATCAAATGAAAGGAAAACAAGTGAAATACGATGAGTAAAGTGACGTTATTGTAAATGCAATATGGCGGACATCACAAAATGGCGATTTATCATTGCATGCTTTTATTTAGTTTCGCCTTTCCCGGTGTCTCTCCGTAATCAAATCTGGCAAGTTTTTAACTAAACGTCATTCTAAATCTAATATGGCGGATTCCCAAAGATGACGGATTATGTTTTTTTATGCACACCCATGATATGGATATTAAATGAAAGAGCTATGAAAAATACGAATAAAATAACAAAATAAAAAACATTTTTCAAAACAAGCTTTTATTTAAGTGGTTTAAAAAGAAGAAAATAAACTTTAAATTAAATCAAACCCAACAATTTATTACATTACCCAAATAAACAAGAAAAAATGTTAAAAAATAATGTTTTTTAAATAGGTATAATTATTTTTTAAATATAACTAAATTAAAAGTAAACTATTAATTTATTTATACATATATAGATAGGCAAAGCTAAAACAGTTCAGAAGTGGTTGGTGTAATTATTTTGTTTAATTTGCTTCTTGCACTTTGCACATATTGCGGTTACAGCGGTGAGAATAGTATTATAAACAGCCAATTATAATTCTTTCTATAACAGACTTCAATCACAATTTTAATGCACCTTAACCTATAATGACAAGGGACCATAAAAATCTATAAATATAATAAAATTGTAACTAAGCCGAATGTGTACATTAAATATTTTTTTAAAAATCTTATTGAAATAAACATTATTATCGATACAAAGGCCGAATCTATAGTTTTTAGAATTTTTGTCTGTCTGTCTGTTACCGCATCACAGAAAAATCACTAGCGGGATATTGATGAATTTGGTATAATGAGAGCTGGTTATCCGAGTCAACGTGTAGGATACTTTTTACCACGGGAAAATATCTAATCTCTGAGAAAAAATACAAAAACTGTAATGTTAACCTAAGAATATGGTTTTCGGTCGTCTGAACACGGTTGGATCCGCGGGCAATGTTAATACAACTATATAACCCTAATGAAGACGATGAAAATAACAAAAATATTTTTTTAAACGAATTCAAAAAAAGATGTTATTCTAAAAGATCGATGTCTTAATTTCAATTTTAAATAAAACTATTTTCCGAGCTTTTTCTCGATGTTTTCAAGAAAAAATGAATAATAAGAAAACCATAAATAAAATCTAAACTAATATTAGAAAGAGAAAGTTTGATTGTTTGTTTGAACGCGCTAATCTCAGGAATTACTAATCCGATTTGAAAAATTCTTTTGGCATTACATATCTCGTTTATTGAGGAAGGTTATGCGCTATATATCATATAACATATAGTCTATCTATTCCATACTAACCGTTAAAACGTATCTAGAGACAAACCCGAGCGAAGCCAGGGTAAGCCGCTAGTTGAAGTATAAATTGTAGACTAACTAGTGCTTAAACTATTTTTAATTAAGTTTTTATATTTAAAAACATTTGTTTGTTACAGACATGTCAACACGAGAGTGACATCTAAGATGGCTACCAAATATTCACCCACGACGAAAAACGATGCTGAGAGCGGTTTAGATAAAAACTATTGTGTCGATTGTGATAATATTATTAAAAGTAGTATAGATTCGAATATGAACATGCAAAAGTATACGGAAGTGCAGGAGTTTTATAATGGAAAGAATGTTTTAATTACTGGAGCTACAGGTGAGATATACGTTATATTTGTACAATCATTGGTCTAGTGGCTGGCATTTCATAGGTCCGGAGGTCCTGGATTCGAGACCTGAGTGGGGACGAGTATGGTTATTTTGTTGTTTTGTCAAGAAATTATCAGTCATAGCCTGGAGTTGGGAAGTCAGCGATGTTTCACCCCCGTGCCTCGGAGAGCACGTAAAGCCTTCGGTCTTGCGCCCACGAGTGTCGAAGTATCGTCCCATTGGTATTTAAGAGGGAAAGGAATAGAGAGAACACGTGTGTTCTTGTGTACACTTGTACACTATAATATCTCCTGCGCAGTTAGCTAGTCTCAGTGAGATAGGTTGTTGCCGAAAATATTATCAATATTGTAGTGTCTCTTTTTGTTACCCATTCATGCTTTAACTACTAAACAGATTTTGATGGAATTTGGCAAAAACATAGTTGTATCATAGGGTGAAATGTACCATGTTTTATCCAGACGACTAAAGTCAAATTCAAAATATTTTATTCAGCAATAAATTATTAAAAAAATTACTGAACGTCATGAGTCTACTACCAGTTCGGAAAGAAGAAAGCTTCAGACTTGACAAGAACTGGTGAAAGAGACTCAGCGAATGAATCTATTAAAAAGTAACGCGTGTTATCAGCCCACTTCACATGTCTTTGGAAAACTAGTTAGATTCTCTCAGACATGCAGGTTTCCTCACGATGTTTTTCTTCACCGTAAGACAAGTGGTAATCATGTTGACAGGTAGTATAGAGGTTCGAGAACATAGTTCGAACCAATTTCACCAGTTTATAATTCACTATCCAAGTGAGCACTTTACACAGGGCTACCACAAAAATAAACAAATAATAAATAATCTTAATTACGTATGTGAAATTTAAATATCTTAAAACTAAATAATATTTATAATACCTACCTATACCTTTTTCTCGCACTTGGATCATCTATTCAGAACCATAACGACATATTATTACAGTTAAAAAACCAATTATAGACTAATTACATCTTATCAAATCAACTTTTTTATTAGTCTTTTTTTTTAATTATTTTTTTTGTTCGAACGCAATTTACTCTGCCAATGACATATGGAATAAATAAGATCCTATAAATATTGGAAGTATAATTGATGGAAATTGTTTAGGAAGTGACAACCCTATTCAAAATCATAATAATAGACTCATTTTTATTGTGTCAATAATGTTTTTACATAGAGAAAATATTTTTTTTTATTTATGATTGAAAGAAAAAATAAAATAAAAAAACAATGTCTTAACAGATGATCCGGATTCAATGAAATACGAGTAAATATGAGATTAAATTCCATAAGTATCTTAGCGTATTTGTATATTCAATTTATTTTAGAACAGATATTTTTCAATCAACCGTGACTCCGATTTAGCAGAAACTTGGAATGTTTTTTTATTTTTTTTTATTTATAAGATTTGCCAGCACTGTCAAATCTTAATCCAAATAATTATAAAACAAAAAAAATGCTATACCATCTTGGCTCTTTAAAAAATAGGAAAAGGCAAAATAGTGTTAAAATTGCCTATGTCTTGAGTATTTAATATTTTTTTGTAGTAAAAGATTCCAAGTAAGTTCCTTTATCTATTTACCCGTCTGATAAACCTCGACCATGTTCATACCAAGCAGATGGGTGAGACACAAGCTTACTTCGGATCTTAGACTATGTTGCACTATGACATAATCGAATTGTACCTATGTAATAATAAAATAAATAACTTATCATACTTTAGTGGTAACAATTGTATCAAAAAATTGTAATTTTTTTATTTATGTTAGGGTTCCTTGGTAAAATATTAATGGAAAAACTACTTCGATCCTGTCCGGGCGTAGAAAACCTGTACTTGTTGGTGAGGCAGAAACGCGGGAAAGACATATATACAAGAATTGAAGAAGTTTTCGACGATCCGGTAAGTGACTTATCATCAATTTCCTAAAGTTCAGTTTTATCGATAGTCGTAAATAGGAAGAGATTTTACATATAATAGCAGTACCCGCGGCTTTGCCCGCGTTTAAACTACTAAAAAAACAAACTCTGTGACATACTTACAGCAGCGTCACCTTTTTTTTTTAACGTTGGGAAATGCATTTACGCACGAAGTGTGGGACTCACCGGCGAAGCCAGTACTACCCACTAAAACCCAACAAAACCTTCCCCCGTCTTAATGGGGCGTCGCAGGATCGCTTACGCATTCAACTACGACGCCCCGACGGCAGGTCTGCCGAAGCAGACCACAACAACCATAGGGTTGCTCCACGGTCCACTCTGCTATCAGAGAAGTACCAGGAGCAACCCGCATGGTACACCGCCCTCCGAATAAGGCCGCCTCCCACCGCCCACCGAAGCGGGCCACCTCCCTGTGCGTTTCTTGGCTTCGCGAGTACATTACTGAGCCCCCCACCACGACAAGATGAACGCACGTTGGGGGGGACAGCAGCGTCACCTACCGGGTCCAATTGTGTTTCCAAACTATTCAGGAGCCCATAGAAATATACACACAAAATTTCATCCAAATCGGTCCAGCTCTTTAGGAGGAGTAAGGTAACAAACAAACCTACAGAAGAATCACATATATATTAAGATATGTATGTATATATAATTCTATGACATTGATTGAATTTTATTTTAATGCAACATCGATCAAAAATCTACTACATACACAATCAGCGACAAAAAATGTCTTCACCGAATGAGCGCTCATTTGAATATTTCAGCGCGCTTTTATTTATTTTTTTGTGAAAACAAATGTAAGCATTTATTTAATTTTCATAGTTTTATATTTATTTCAAATTGACTTAATTACCTAAGCACAATTGGTGACAGTTTTAAGAGAACTTTTACATGGGATTGTACATCTAGTAGATACTTTTTTGATCGATGTAATGCAATTTTAAAAATTCAGCTATAGTAAAATGATATCTTGTCAAAGCCTCAAGACAAGACGACTAATCATAGAAATCGCACAAAAGTAAACAAAGATTACGAGTAGGTACTACATAAAAAAAAAAATTGTATGATTTTTTTTTTATTCTAAAGTAGGTACACACAGGTGAGAAAAATGGTGCCGATCGATAGCCAAAATATAATACTTATGCATATTATACTGTACTAGCGACTTAGCTTCTCTGGGGTTCCCTAGGGGCGTAACAGTGAAGGAGTAACAAACATACACACATACAGACTTTCACATTTTTAATAGTAATCTCTTATGAAGAACCGTCGATGCTTTTGTATCGAATAGCAAAAGGCAATTTTTAAACCTATTTGCTGGTTTTTCTCGATTTTGATCACAATATCCATACTTAATATTATAAATGTGAAAGTTTTGATGTTTGGATGGATGTTTGTTACTCAATCATGCTAACACGGCTAAACGGATCTGGATGATATTTGGCACAGAGATAGATTATAATTTGGAATAGCACATAGGTTACTCTTTATCCCGAAAAAATGTATGGTTCCCGTGGGATAGATTTCTTTTTTTTATCACCAGGGGATAAAAAAGGTGTCTAAACGAGGGTGAGTCACGAGTAGTAGATAACAAAGTAAAACATCTATGAAATATAATTTCTTTATTATAACCTAATAACATTAAATATAATAATGCATTATCAAATTTTGCGGTTCGAAGGCAGGCATTTGGCATATTATTTTAAGTATATTTTCACGACATTAAAGCCCCGAATTTCTCGCTAATTTCTAGAAGACAAACATACTGCTCTTTATCATTGGAACTTGATTCTCGCACACAAAATTTGCTTTTTTTATACATGTACCACGTATTAACACTTACAGTATCTTTCATCTAAATCTCCAGCTTTAATATATGGATAAGAATAAAAAATCGTATTTTATTGCGCGTTAAAAAGCTATTATCGTAATAGTGTGATACTCTATACTAATATTATAAAGAGGTAAAGTTTGTGAGTTTGTGAATTTGTAGGGGGTAATCTCTGGATCTACTGAATCGATTTAGATGAAAGGTAAGAAGATAGTTTGAGACCCTGGGAAGGACATAGGATACTATTTATCCCGGAAATCATCCCTTTAGCGGGTGAAAATGGGAATGAAAGTTTGTATGGGGAATCAAGGTAGGGACGAACCCGAGCGAAGCGATGGTGATACGCTAGTGTCAATAATTGATGTTTTAATGAAACATTTGCATGGGCTTATTGTGTTCTTTTCACAGAAAATATGGAAGATACAGGTTACATATTATAGTGGCCATTAGACTGTGTTTTGGATATGAATTATGATTCAGGCAAATGCAAGTCCGATGCAAAGCAAATCTAATATATATTTCGATCGATGTCTATGAATATCAATCATAAAAACAAATCGATCATACATAAAAAAAAAGATTCCGAAGAATTGAGAACCTCCTCCTTTTTGGAAGTCGTTTAAAAATAAAAACTATTATATCGCTTACTTGAGTAATTGATTGATTCCCCATAGAAACTTCCAACCTTCTTTTCACCCCCTTTAGAGATAATTTCCGGAATAAAAACTCTTAAATATCATATGTCCTTCTCAGGTTCTCAAACTATCTAAACTATCTCCGTAACAAATTTCATCTAAATCCGTTCTGCGGATTGTGTGTGAAAAGGTAACAGACAGACAGATAGACAGAGTTACTTTCGCATTTATAATATTAACACCGATAATATTAGTATATATATATATATTTATATATATATATATATATATATATATATATATATATATATATATATATATATATAATTCAAAAAAAATCTCATCAGAAATAAATTTTTGTATTGTATTATAACGTGTTTTCCCGTGGGAATGAGATGATCTCAAGCGATAAAAAGTACTCTAAAGCCTATGTCACTCTCCAGCCTTCCAACTATCTTCACACCAAAAACCTCGCAAATCCGTCACTCCGTTTCGACGTGAAAGAAAGACAAACAAACAATCAATCAAACAAACAAACAAACCACCTATTGCCAAATTGTATTACTAATAGTAGCCTGTTCTAATCCAAGTCATAGCTTATACATAATTTACTATTTGCCATTCCCAACAAAAATGTTGATAGTCTGTCTTTTTATCTCAATTCATGTAATACAAATGTGTACTTGTATGTACGTATATAAAATATTTGTCATTTTTTTTCATAAGTTAACGCTACTTTACGCTCAAAAACTTCTGCAAAGAAAATCTCAATAGAAGAGTTAAGTTACGAGCCTCTCATAACTCACATGTTAAACAAATAATTAAATGCAAATGACCTTAGTACTTTAAAAGTGCAAATTTGCATTGAACTCTGATGAAAACATGACATAAGGCTTACCGTCCACTTACAGCGATATTATGTATAAATATATATATATATATATATATATATATATATATATATATATATATAGCGTTCCTATCAATAAAATTCGTTTTATTTGACAATGAACTACTTTATTTAGGATATATGTAATATAGGATATACTTATCTTATAATCTTATAAAAAATCTCTAAGATTCGGTCTGTAGTTCTATAGATTATTCAAACAAACAAACACACTTTCAAAGAAAGCTTACATTCATAAAAGTATAAGATGAAAATGTTCACAATTAATACAAATTTCACATTATATAAACACACTAACTTTTACATACATATACTAACTTTTTTTAAGTCGGTTAAAATATTTATTGCATTGAACCATAGAGATGTTTTAAAGTTATTAGTTTCGTCTATAGTTAAATACCGAAAGGCTTAATAATATGTGCTTCATTTACCTACTATAAGGTAGCGGGTTTGATTCCTGCGATATGCAAGACTACCTATTAATCAGATCTCTATATAGATTTTCTTGAAAAACTAATTAATCACTTCTTTCACATATGATTGAATGAGTTCAATGGGCCTTTTTAAAGGCAGTTCCAGCGGTCGCGGGTTCGAGTCCCCCTGGGGCATTAATTTGCGTGATAAGCACGAATGTTTGTACTTCAGTCATGGATATTTATATTTATAATATGTATATATTTAAAGTTATATATGTGTAGTGTATCAACTATCTGGTATCCAAAACACAAACCACGTAGCTTACCATGGAACTAGATGGTGCTGTGTGTTAATGTCCCAACATATTTATTTATATTCTACATTGGCGGAGTAATCTGTGCTCAACTGGCACGCTTTGAAGCCGCTTTGAATTAAGTATAAATTATAAGAATTGTATGAAAATCATAAATTTAATCGTTGTCATAAAATCTCCATATAAATTTTACAAGCTTTTTAATAACTTACAATATTTGTTTATATAAGTTATCCATTTCAAAATTTACAAACCATTTTTCAACCACTTCCTGGTATTAAATTGAGCTGAAATTTGGTATGCTTATGTAATTTTCGTGACAATGCAATATTATGGTACCATCGAGCTGTTCTGATGATGGAGACGGGAAGTAGAGATTGGAACTCCTTGATGGCATATGGAAGGTTAGTCGAATTTAGGCATTACACATGATGACGAGCGTCTGGAGACGGAGCTGGAAATATAAGCTTAAAAATCTTTTTGTACTTGACGAAATGAATGCAAAAAAACATGATTAAATTATACTCATAGAAGCTATAGGCACCTTTGTTATTTTCATCATACTTTATTATTATAATCTAGCCTGTAGGATATGTCACTTGTGACAGATCTCTTATAGTAGGGGAGCCCAAGAGGGGATTTTCTGTAGTTACTCGAGCGCGGCAGATTAACATAAAAGAGGTTACCTTGCACTCTATTGAGTACTTTCACCATAATATAAGTCTTCTATATAAAGGGGCGCGTCTAGGGAAGCCGATTAAAATATTTAAAAAATGTTTTGATAAGGTAGAAATACTTGAAACCGTCAGATTAAGGTGTGGCAGGCTAGTCACATCCTGAAAAGTGTCCAATT